CATAACATGAACGAGGATACTCCAAAACCAAACCACAATCATGTATTTCTCTGTCTCCTCCGCAGGATTACTCACTCTTACACCCTCCACACCCATACCCTTCTCACTTTCTGTTTCAAACAGACGCACTATTGTTCTTTCCTCTTCAAATTCCTCTACAGATTCCTCTCCACAACAACTCAACAATAATCCTAATAATAATGACAATAAAACTGTCACTGTTGTTAAATTCAACTATAGCAGAGCATCACCTTCAATTCGATGGCCCAATTCCAAACTCTCTCATATCTACCCTTCCACAGATACCCATTTGTCTCAAAACGATGTTTTCGTAAAAAAGACTGAAACTTTGGAAACCCCCGATGAAACGCACAGACGGATTGATGAAGAAGAAGAAGAAGGAGGAGGAGAAGAAACACGTGAAATTATGAGGGAGAGTAGAAGCAAAATGAAGTTCAACAGGATGAACAAATTGGCGCTCAGAAAAGAGATGAATTGGAGGGAAAGAGTGAAAATTTTAACCAATAGGATTTTGGGTTTGAAGTCTGATGAGTTTGTTGGCGATGTGTTGGAACAGCACAGTGTTATGATGACACCAGTTGATTTTTGCTTTGTGGTTAAATCGGTTGGTCAAACTAGTTGGCAGCGAGCGCTTGAGCTTTACGAGTGTTTGAGTATGCAGCAATGGTATGCACCTAATGCAAGGATGGTTTCCACTATTTTGAGTGTGCTTGGAAAGGCTAATCAAGAAGAAATTGCTGTTGAAATATTTACAAAAGCCGAGTCGAATATAGAAGATACTGTACAAGTGTATAATGCTATGATGGGTGTTTATGCAAGGAATGGTAATTATGATAAGGTAAAGGAGATTTTTGATTTAATGCGTGAAAGAGAGTGTGAGCCCGATATTGTTAGTTTCAATACTTTGATTAATGCAAAGGTGAAGTCTTGTGCTATTGTGTCTGGTTTAGCTATTCAGCTTTTGGATGAAGTAGGTAAGTTTGGTCTTAGACCGGATATAATCACTTATAATACGCTTATAAGTGCTTGTTCTAGAGAGGCTAATTTGAAGGAAGCAATTGTTGTTTTTAGTGACATGGAGACTAACCGATGCCAACCCGATATTTGGACTTATAATGCTATGATTTCGGTTTATGGTAGATGTGGGTTTGCTTTGAAAGCTGAGCATCTTTTTGAAGAGTTGAAGTCTAAGGGATTTTCACCTGATGCAGTCACATATAACTCTTTGTTATATGCGTTTTCGAAAGAAGGAAATACGGAAAAGGTTAGGGATATTTGTGACGAAATGGTGAAAATGGGGTTTGGCAAGGATGAAATGACATACAACACTATTATACACATGTATGGGAAGCAAGGACGGCATGATGAGGCGTTGCAGCTTTACAAAAACATGAAGTCATCTAAAAGGATCCCTGATGCGGTTACATATACTGTTTTGATCGATTTGCTTGGGAAAGCAAGTAAGATTGAGGAAGCTGCGAAAGTGATGTCAGAAATGTTGGATGCAGGTGTTAAGCCCACTTTGCATACATATAGTGCTTTAATTTGTGCTTATGCAAAGGTTGGGAGGCGAGCAGAGGCCGAAGAAACATTTAATCGCATGCGTGAGTCAAATATCAAAGCTGATCATCTATTATACTCGGTTATGTTAGATTTCTTTTTGAGATTCAACGAGATAAAAAAGGCTATGGTGTTGTATCAGGAAATGATTCAGGAAGGCTTCATGCTGGATAATGGTCTTTATGAGGTCATGTTACCTGCGCTTGTGAGAGAAAACATGGGGGATGTTGTTGAAAGAATTGTTCAAGATATGGAAGAGCTGAGTGGTATGAACCAACGTGATATTTCATCAGTTCTTGTTAAGGGAGGATGTTACGATCATGGTGCTAAAATGTTGAAAATTGCCATCTGCAATGGCTATGAATTGGATCGTGAGATTTTCCTATCCATTATGAGCTCATATAGCTCATCTGCTAGATATTCAGAAGCATGTGAACTTCTTGAATTCTTTAGAGAACATGCTCCCGGCGACATTCAAATGATCACCGAGGCACTCATCATTATACTTTGCAAAGCTGGAAAGTTAGATGCAGCCTTGGAGGAATACAGAAGTAGAGGAGGACTTGGTTCATTTACGAGTTGTACAATGTATGAATCTCTTATTCAGGAATGCATGAAGAGTGAACAATTTGATGTAGCTTCTCAGCTTTTCTCTGACATGAGATTCAATGGTGTTGAGCCATCTGAATGTCTGTACCAGAGTATGGTGTCTGTATACTGCAGAATCGGCTTCCCCGAGACAGCACACCATTTGTTGTATCATGCAGAGAAAAATGACATTATACTGGATAATCTAACTGTTCATATCATTGATATCGTTGAAACATATGGAAAGTTAAAGATGTGGGAAAATGCAGAAAGTATAGTGGAGAATCTTAGGCAAAAGTATTCAAAAGTCGACAGAAAGGTCTGGAATGCTTTAATACATGCTTATGCATTCAGCGGTTGTTATGAACGAGCAAGAGCTATTTTTAATACAATGATGAAAGATGGCCCTTCCCCGACCGTAGAATCCGCAAATGGTCTCTTACAATCTTTAATTGTTGATGGAAGACTGAATGAGCTTTATGTTGTAATTCAGGAGTTGCAAGACATGGACTTCAAGTTAAGTAAAAGTTCTATTCTTTTGGTGCTTGAAGCGTTTGCTCAAGCCGGTAACTTACTCGAGGTGCAGAAAGTATACAATGGAATGAAAGCTGCTGGTTATTTTCCTACCATGCATCTTTACAGAATTATGATTGGATTGCTGTGCAGATTTAAAAGAGTAAGGGATGTAAGAGTGATGTTGAATGAGATGGAAGAGGCGGGATTTAAGCCCGATCTTCAAATTTTTAATTTTGTACTTAAATTATATTCAAGTATTGAAGAATTCAAACACATGGGTGATATTTACCAGAGGATGCAAGATGCTGGTCTTGCACCAGACGAGGAAACTTATAATACATTAATTATAATGTACTGCAGAGACCATAGACCAGAAGAAGGTTTGTCGTTGATGCATAAAATGAGAAGTCTTGATTTGGAACCTAAGCGAGACACTTACCGAAGCATGATTGCAGCATTCAGTAAGCAACAACAGTACGATCAGGCTGAGGAACTTTTTGAAGAGCTTAGATCGAATGGTTATAAACTGGACCGCTCCTTTTATCATTTAATGATGAAAATGTATAGAACTTCTGGGGATCATCAGAAAGCTGAAAATCTGGTAGCCATGATGAGAGAAACAGGGATAGAACCCAATACTGCAACCATGCACATGCTAATGGTTTCTTATGGTAAATCTGGGCAACCTGAAGAAGCTGACAAAGTCCTTAAAAGCTTGAGAACAATGGGAGCAGTTCTTGATACCTTGCCTTATAGCTCTGTTATTGATGCATATCTCAAAAAAGGAGATTCGAAAGCCGGAATTGAAAAGCTTGCAGAGATGAAGGAAGCAGCCATAGAACCAGATCATCGAATATGGACGTGCTTTATCAGAGCTGCAAGCTTAACTGAGAAAGCAAATGATGCCATTAATCTTTTAAATGCACTCCAAGGTGTTGGATTTGATCTTCCAATCAGGTATCGATTAGTTTTTTTTTTTTTTTTTAAAGTTTTTGAGAGGAAAATTTGCTTGTCATATTTCTCTAGTTAATTCATTATACTGGTGTTATATAGGCTTCTAAGAGAAAAATCCGAGTCGTTAGTTTCTGAGGTTAACCAATGTCTGGAGAGACTAGAACATGTGGAAGATAATGCAGCTTTTAACTTTGTCAATGCTTTGATTGATCTCTTGTGGGCATTTGAACTCCGAGCCACTGCATCATGGGTTTTCCAATTAGCAATCAAGAAAAACATTTATCGCCATGATATATTTAGGTAAGCAGTATAGAAAATGAAGTTTATTTTTTTTATGATATTAAGAAAATTAAATGAGATAGAGTAACCTTCTTAATTAGCGGAAAAAAATTGTTTTTTCTTATATTCTGAACAAAACGGAGTATCTTCATTCCGATTTTCAACTGAAATGTTGCTTTCTCTGTTTGGTTACTTATTCCGTGTATCTTTATCAATGGCAGAGTTGCTCAAAAGGACTGGGGGGCTGATTTTAGAAAGCTATCTGCCGGCTCGGCTCTTGTTGGTCTTACATTATGGCTTGATCATATGCAAGTAAATTCTCTTTCCCTCCTAAGTTGCATTCAATGTATATGGTTTTTGGCTGCTAAATTCTAAGGTTCAACATTTTCGTCTGAGCTTATATATATTTTGACCTTAACATTTGGACTTCAATGTCATGGCAGGACGCCTCATTGGAGGGCCATCCAGAGTCACCAAAATCAGTTGTACTTATAACAGGAACAGCCGAATATAACATGGTGTCGCTCGATAGCACATTAAAGGCGTGCCTTTGGGAAATGGGATCGCCTTTTCTTCCTTGTAAGACACGGCACGGTGTTCTTGTAGCCAAGGCTCACTCTCTTCGAATGTGGCTAAAAGACTCCTCATTTTGCTTGGATCTTGAGTTAAAAGATTCCCCGAATCTCCCTGAATTAAATTCAATGCAACTTATAAATGGATGCTTTATAAGACGCGGCCTTGTTCCAGCGTTCCACGAAATTACTGAGAAACTAGAAATTGTGAGTCCCAAGAAGTTTTCTAGATTGGCTTTATTGCCTGATGATAAGAGAGGTAAAGTCATGCAAGCTGATGTCGAGGGAAGGAGAGAGAAATTGGAAAAACTAAAAATGGCTGATCCTCGACAGGCGATGAAGATGAAGAGGATTAGGAAGAAGAAATTTATTCGGGAAGCTTTTGAGTACCGAGGAAATGCAATTGGGAAACAAAGGACTTTCAAACCAATTGCTGCAAATAAATAGATAGAAAGAGAGAGATATGACGACAGATAAGTTAAGGTAAGGTTGTTTGGAATCTTGCTCTTAATGTTCTATATCAGAAGCTTTCATGAAGCATGCTATAACAGAAGCTCTATAGCATCAACTTGTACTTTCTGGTGAAAAACAAGCAATGTAATGCCAAATATTGTACAGAAATTGTTAACAAAGAACTGTTAACTGTTATAATAAAGCGTTATATTTAATTTATAGATCACAAGATTTGATTCCTTACTTTAGGTTTGTGGATAAATCATCTACATTTTAAATTAATTAGTACAATTGTTACTTTAGTTATTGATGGTTGCAACTATGAGACGTTTCATTCATTTTTATCTATTTTTTATTTTTTATTTTTTTTGAGAGAGAAATTGTATTAATTTATGAAGACAGTATAAACAAGAGCAACAACTAAGCTGAATGAAAACTAAATAAATAAAAAAATAAAAATTCTGTCAGTTATTCTCATTCTCTTAGAAGAAATTGATGACTAAAAAAATTATTTAGCTTTTACAAAATTCATACAGCCAATTTCAAGTTCCATCAAGTCATAATTACAAATCTACTACCAAGTGCCAGAACAAATTACCTCCAAATATTATACAGAGACATTTTTTAAAATTTCTTAGAAAAAACAGGGTGTGAAAATTATCCGTTTCAAAGCCCAAGTTTAAAAGGTGCAACCCAAGTATTTCTGAGCCCATTTCAGATCTCTCTACTCAACTTTTTTCCAGAACATAAAACGAATCATCGCCTGAATTTCGATCCTAAGAGATTCTCGCACCCATTGCTCTGAGGTAAACTAAATTTTCTTCCTTTTATTTCATTTTTTTATTTTCACGTTTCTTCAATTTTTAGTGTATATTTTGCTTTGCGATGAAAAATCCAGTTCAAATAGCAATTTATGAAGTCGTCGTATATTGTGGCAGAGAAAAGAAGAAGAATATAAAATGGGAGGAAGCAGAGGGCAAAAGCTTTCTGGAATGCAAAAGCAAGTACTTAGCTTATACAGAGGATTTCTACGTGCTGCACGTTCCAAATCTGAGGAAGAACGCTGCAAGATAGAGTCCATAGTATGTCAAGAGTTTCGGCGTAATTCCAAGCAAGTGGATCGAAGGAATTTTCAATACATTGAATATTTACTTCGCCGTGGCCATAAACAGCTTGATCAGCTTCGAAACCCTGGCACCATTGCTTTATCTTCTTTGCAACTTGATTTGTCTAAGTGAGTTGTTAATTCATTATTCAAAATTTACTCACTATTCAGATGCTTGCCTTTTTTTATGCAGACAAATAAATTAATTGTTTTATGTACACTTTCCTTTTTATTATACTGTTTATGGTTTTTATTTAAAAATTAATGTTTACTTGTTAGTGCTACTAAGCTACTTTGTCAAGTATTCACAAGCTATTATCTTGTATAAATAAATTAACATTAATATTAATTTTAATACATCAATATTCGATAAAGTTATTATTTTTCTCTTTTATTTATTACGATTTCTTAATTTGTGTGAAAGTGTTAACTATGACAATTATTTTAGAATAAAAAGAATAGTAATATATTCGTGTTTCTGTATGTGTAAATTTATTTAATATTGTATAAAAATTTATTTAGACACATAAATTTAAAATGAATGATTTAACTTTAAATGAACGATGTAAACTCAATTGTATTAAATAAACATATAAAAAAAATGGGACACGTGACACAGAGTAAAATTAGAATTTTACTATTTAAAAATAAAAATTGTCTTTTTATTTAATTGTTGATTAAAATAAAATAGACATTGTCTTGATAATGATTCGTGTGCTAAAAAATTATTTAATGTGATATAAAATGTATTTAGATATTAATGTAAAATTTGAAATAATTTATTTAATTATAAAATTAACAATAATCATATAAATTTAATTATATTAAATGATTTATTTAATTATAAAATTAACAATAATTATATAAATTTAATTATATTAAATAATCATTAAAAAAAGAATTAAATTAAATATTATATTGACAGTGACTCGTAAGATAAGTAAATTTTTTTAACTTCATTAAAATTAAAAAATAGAGTCATGCTAACCATGGTCTTAAGAATTCTAAAAAATATTAGTGTAAAAATTTGTGGTGAAAAGACATTTTGGAAAATTCATGGGATTGATTTTTAATATATAGATAGTAGATTGCACTACATCATCATGCTTCTTAACAAATTCTTACTTTCAGACACGTTTTACCTGTTTAGCAAATCAACTAGTTCATTCACTATCAACTAAAAATTCACCTACTCAAAACTAAATTTTACTGCTTATCGGCTGCTTTTTTCTGCTAAAAAAACTAAGTTGAGCTATGCTGTGAAATAAAAGATTAAGGTAAAGTTATAACATTGCAAGACTGCATAATATTTCAAGATGAGAATTTGAATTTCCCCAAAGCATAAAAGTTACAAGTATTTAATTTTGAAGGCTTTTGTTAATACAAAAGACTCTACGGTTTTCTATATAATAATCTCTTGAAACCGCATCAGTTTTTTCAACAACAAAAATTTTGATTTCAAGTTCACAATTCAATGCATACAGATTACAATAAAAAGAGCAGGTTACACTAAGAAAGGACAGTGGTCTAGAACATCTAAATACTAAAATAAGCTGTTGATCCCAAAAAAATACAATTCATCGAGGAGCACCATAAACTTGGGTGGAGTCATATTGGGGATAAGCAGGCTGAGGTGATACTGTCTTACCATATGCAGCTGGTGCTGTTCCTGCTGCGGGTACAGCCGCATAAACTGCTGGTTGTGGGTTAGACTGGTCGTAACCAGCTTGAGTTTGTGTCGGTTGAACATAACCTGGCTGCACAGTTGGTGCTGCACTATATGCTTGTGCAGCCCCGCTGCTGTAAGCAGGATCTTGGGGCGCTTGGTAACCATAAACTGCATTGTTAGACGCTGGTTGTTCAGGGTAAGTCTGCTGAGAAGATGGGTATGATCCATAACCAGTAGGACCAACTTGAGCATAACTGGCTGCCGCCGGAGCACCTGGCTGCCCATAACTGGGCTGTCCACCTGGCTGGGTATAAGCTTGTCCAGGAGCAGATTGAGGGTGACTGTAACCATCTGCAGCTGGGGCAGACCCATATGTGGGATATGCTGCTTGTGATGGCCCAGATGATGCATAAGGATATGGTTGTTGCACTGTGCCATATGATTGTGCTGGAGTAGAACCCTGATACTGAATTTCTCCAGGTTGAGAGGCTCTAGGGTGGCCATAGGACTGTGGATGTTGTCCTTGTGAAGGTGGCATGCCATACAATGGTGGCTTACCATACTGCTGTTGAGGTGCATAATTCACTTGAGCACTGGCTTGAGGATAGGTTGGCTGAGAATTTGGATGTCCTCCATAAGGATATTGCGCAGGGGCACGGTTTTCATACTTTGATTCATCATAACCTTGTCCATAACCTTGTTGAGGATGTCCTGCCTGCTGATAAGGTGTCTGATGTCCATAATCCTGGCCCTGAGGCTGTCCATAATTGTAATTCATCTGAGCTGGGGATGGGCCCATGGAGGGTAAAGGAGAAGGTCCGGTACCATGTTGGGGAACTGAACTGGCATGTTGGGCAGATGATGGAGCCTCAGATGAATGACCCCCTTGTCCGCCATAATAATCATAACCACCATTATGTGAGGGTGGCCCCTGTATACTCTGGTGAGGCCTTTGCTCCCAACCAGAACCATAGCTGCTCCTTGGAGCCATATGTTGAGGATAATTTCCATAAGGAGTAGGAGCATATGATTGATTGTGAGAAGGATATGGCCCGCGGTGTTGATAGTCATATGATTGCTGATGGCCATAATGTGAGCTTCGCTGACCCCATTGAGGTGGACCACCAGATCCTCTAGGTGGACGGTAAGCCTGCTGGCCAAAACCACCTGTTGATGACCTGATAGGCTATAAAAGCACAGCATACAAAAATAAGTAAATAGGAAAAAATAATAATAACCAGAATCATATCAGAATAAGTTGACTAAGCCAAAATAGAAAAGATGCAGCTATTGCGATCCAATTAAATATTAAAATCTGGTTGCCATGATAGCCAAGAGAAAATATTTGTCATGATATAAATCAGGTTAAAGGACACACTCCTCCAAAAACAGTAAGAAGGTAAAAACAAATTTCTCAGGACAATTTCAGAAGTATATAACATTACATATGTGGCATGTTAAGACTGTGTAATCAAAACTTCTGCTGAATGACAAGTGGCAAAATAACAAGCACCAAGCTGTCATGATAATGTGTAGCATGTCATATCTCAAAGCTCAGCTATGGTAGGTGATGGAGTAAACAGCTATACAAAAAAAATTGTTTGATATTATCACAGTAAAAATACATCACCTTAGCAAATACAGGAAAGTGAAAAAAAGGCCGATAATGCAAAAGCAAAACTAAGAATGATTATAAGCTAAGTTTCAATCAATCAATTTCACAATAACTAGACAAAGATGGTGAATCTTACAAGAGGCGACAGAATGATATAGTTCTGCTGCTTTCAACATACCAACATATTCTAGATAAATTGATTCAAAGACAGAATAAAGTGAAAACTGAACCAGTTTGATACATCAGTGATCACTCATAGTACATATCGTGTCAAAGTTGCATATAATCACCAAATTCCAAAAGGGAATGAAAATGCATAGCAAACGAATACAGAGGATTAAGCATGATAGTCTTCACTCCCTAAGAAAGATCCACAAAAGCACATTTGAGTATACAACACTCAAATCAAGTTTTACTTTAAAAGATGATCAGGCAAGTTTCTCTTTTAGATAATTTTTCAACCCACCTCTGCATATTGTCAGAGGCCCCCAGAATACACTACTGGAAGGATCCTTCCGGTAGCTAATAGAGGGTGGATTGAAATATTATCTTTCTTATATGTTGCACTTAAAACATTAACTTAACACTCGTCTAATATATGCTATTCTCTGCCACCGAGAGCATGATCAGGTCAAAGATATGTTAGAAAGCAGGTAAACGAACATATTTGTGCTAGTCCTTGAACATATGGCTATCGTAGTCTTTTCAACCAAGAATACCACCAGGTCAAAGATATGTTAGAAAGCAGGTAAATCAACACAACATATATGGCTATCGTAGTCTTTTCAACCAAGAATATCACCAGGTCAAAGATATGTTAGAAAGCAGGTAAACCAACACAACATACTTGTGTACTGGGGTCTTGGAACACATAACTACCTTCATTAAAATCTACCCAACATCAAAGCAGACCAGATGACAAGAATTATTTATTATGGTTTTTCTAATTACATGACTAGATAGAGGAATAGAACTCAAACACAGTTAAAATCATCAAACGACATGACTTCACCAGGTATGACTCTTTTCTTCTAAAAGGTTTCATACAAATCATACAGCTGCTCTTTTTGAGCGCCAAGGCCAGCACAATATAGTCTTACTGATCATTATTTTTAAGTCTTGAAGCAATCTTACCAACCATTAAACATCCTGCTATCGGAGGTTTTTATGCCTGCCACCTCTCTTCAGAGCATGAAAGTGAATATGCTGTCTATGACATCAAGAAAGCAATGCTGACCCCAAGGAAAAGGCAATGGCCAAATCTGCATTTTTAAAGCCAACCAATTCGAAATTGGCACCTTAAGAAAAATAAATCATTGCAACTGTCATCTTGGTTTACATATATGATCTTCCAAAAAGATTTAATTGACCTTGGCATGGATTATTGTTCAAATTCCAAACTCATGAACACTGTTTCATGTGATCTATCTCACTTGCATGGCAACAATTAATCAAACAGGCATCAAATGCATGGACACTCCAGCGCACACAATCACGTTTTTCTATTATGTTCGCAGATGCAACTGTAGAGTAACACTTAACCCAAACATACAAACATATAAAGGGTTTGTCCATATATCTATTTTAAACATGCTAACAATATAGGAAATGTCTAGATCTTTTTTCACAGGGATCCCTATTACGAGCAATCATTCTTCATAACTACTTTTTCATTGGATGATGGAATCAAATGAGTGATAAATAGAACTCATAACTACAGGAACAATGTCAAAATCAGTCACCGATGAGATATCTTAATTGGTCATACATGCTTTCAACCAGCTGGATAACATAAAAAAAGATTCCATAAACTACTTCAAATAACTTACCATATACCATGATACTAATCAAGAACGACAGAACATTGCAACCAATTAAAGCTAAATATCCCCCGGTCACTCCCCAATCAGCATGACATATAAACCCCAGTCTACCATAGAAAGGAGGCATAAGTTGGCACAAAAATGGGTCCAGACGCATGCAAGATAATCAAGGCTACTTTAAGTCAAGAAAAACTTAGTTCGGTTTATTAAAGAAAATTTAATGAATGACTGAACTAGTTCATGCACCACGTTTTAAACAAGAAAATACAACAAAAAATTGCAATAGAAAAAGGAATATCAATAATACATCAAAAGGCAGAAGATTAGCATTGATATAATTGCGAGGTAAACAGAAATACTTAGTTAAAAAAATAAACAGAAATATACCTAAATAATATCTAAATTATCTAATTGCAAACATTATCATCACAAGATATGTAAAGCAAAACAGACCTGAGTCAAGACTTCCTTTATCATTTCTTGAGCAATTTCAATTTGCCTCTTATCACCAGTAACTTGGACAGTCCTTTCTTTAGAATCATCGCCTTCAGGAAGGTGTTGAGGAATCAACTAATACAGTTAAAAGAGCATCATCAGAGCCAATAAAGTTAGAAAGCCTAAAAGAATGTCATTGTACAAGAATCAACCAACTTTCTCCCTCTTACAAAATTCAATAATTCCATTATAGCAACTCTTATGATTGAGGAAATTAGGTTCCAAGAACTTGAAACACACAAAACTCTGCTAATAGAGGATAGTACGACCCTGATACGTTACGGTTTTTTTCGGCTCAACAAACAGCTACATTGCACTAATTCAAAATGCATTTTTAACAAATGTCTTATCTGATAGAAAGTGAAAAGGAGAACAAAGAAAATGACGAGACTCAATGAAAATGTTTGGAAGTGAATAGCATTAAAAAGAATCTGATGAGCACTAAAGAGAAAGTTAAGATAACATCACCACTATCGAATTTCAGTGTTGCTAAGTATTTAAACAAAGCAATACCACCTAAGAGCTTTGGTAACTTCTCACTATCAAATCTAACACACTAATTGTTTAAGATAATACACATGAATTGATTGATTTCATCTAGGCAAACAGCTCTTGCTAAAACTCAACACTTTAATCTCACTTTTGGCTATCCAAAACATTTTGCTAACACAAGGACCACAAGGTTCATTACATGAAAAAATACAACTGCTTTAACCAAGGAAAAAGACAACAGCAATGGAATAATTAATTTCAAATTAATTGGGTTATGAGCAATCATTTCTTTAAAAAAATATCCTATTGACATGCCAACAATTCTACGTCAACATCGTTTTCTTTTATATAAAATATGCAACTATCATATTTTATGGATTTTTTAGCCAACTAATGCATTTCCAACTTAGTTAGCCTCTGCATCAACGGTTTAATACCAAAAAAGAGTGAGGTAAACAATAACAACTACCTGGATGCGTGCCCCAGTTTTGGTCTGCAGGTTCTTAATTGTTTCCCCACCTTTCCCAATGATTAATCCTACCTGTATAATTTTTGTGATTCAAAGCTTCCTTAACATAAACCATGAATAATCTAAAACATAATAGACGGATATTATCAGTTTATCACCTTCTCATTTGGAACTTGAATCTGAACTTGATCAGATCCCACTATAGCCTGAGCTGGGGAGAGGCCTCTAGCAACAAGTGCAGGGGAACCTCCAGCATCAGCCTGTGGAATTTCAAAAGGAAAACAATATAAGAATAAGAACTATATTATGATAATAGCAAGAGAAGAACAAGAAGGATGACACAAAAATTGGATATGGTATCGAACCTCAGCAATCACAGCACTCATTAGCTTTTCAGCCTTATCTATACTTTCCACAGTTCCTATTAATTCCACAGGCCTTGTCGAAGAGTGGGGATCAGCTTCAGCATCCCTCGTAATCTGGATCTTTGCACCTGAATTATACTGCAGGTACCTTATAGTATCACCGGACTTGCCAATAAGTACACCAACCTGAAAATAAATAGAATGCAACTACGTAGTTAAATTGCTTCCAATACAATCCAACGCATAAATTAAATTTAAGATTTGTACAGAACACGGCTTTCAGTGAGGATGTAAGAAACAAATATGCCTGCCTAAAACTTCGTCATTAATGGCTCCACAAGCATAACTATGGACAAAAAAAGAAGGAAAAATGACCACCCATTATCGATAACATAAAGGAAAGAAATATGTGCACAAAACCAACAATTAAAACTGTTGTAGAGAGGACCTACAAAGTGGGGTTTCAAGCTACTGGAGATACAACCACAGAGCCATTTTCCACTTAGTAAGAAAATCAAAATTGATTAAACAACCAATGCCCTATAATGTAGATCATGTCTAAAGGTAATATAAACTTGGATTTTCATGAATTAGTCTGTTAATGTTTCTTTTATCTCCCTCTACCTCTATTAGACTATCATCCATGTGACCTAGTGTATCTTTGCTTTCCAGATTCGGAGCCCCCATACATCCCATGAAAAACAAAAAAAATCTTTGATTAGCTTTCAGCTGGGTCCTTGTCTGATTGTAAACTGATTTCTGCTTCAAGTTAGGCTTGGAACTCGATTTGAAGTTGTTCTGGACTGGGCCAAGTGGACGCTGTGGAATTGATGCACCAAGCTTATTCAAAATAATGTTCGCAAGCTTCAATCCTAACATGCATTTGGTCTTCTTAATGAGGCGTCAATAGGTCTACTACACACATGACCAACTCACCCAATTAGATTACAAACCCCAAATTCCTCTCTAGTGTAATCAATCATAATCATGTCATGTATATTCATTTAACCATCATAACGGACTCATGAGTCATCTCATTCTTGTAGACTATCTTCTTGCTGACTCGTGGTTACCAAGTAGCTGCTACCACTAAAGAGAAAACAAGTTCCAGCAAATTCGTCTTTTTAATCTACACTCCCTGGCAATCTGGCTAATGGTACTTACTGTGTTAAAAAAGCCCTCAAACTTGGGCAAGCATGAAAATATGAATTTGAGAAAAACAATAGGGTGCCCATAAGGCATGCATTTTTGTGGTGAATGCGTTGAACTCGGGCAAGCTTGATCATTTCAACTCAGTAAAAAACAAGCACATAGTCCAAACAATTGGCATAGTGCACATTAGGAGTCCAATTTTGAAAAAACATTGGAGCCATCACAACATATGGGCATGCATCCAACATATAATCAATCAGTAAAAAACCCGTTACAAAGAGGAAATATCTGAAGTGCATCACGTTCTTAAACGAAACATTGTCAAATTTGTTTGTACACAAAGTCAAAGATTGACAATAAGCATGTGATGTGATTGGGCACAATAATACGCATCTAAACCTTATAGAACAAACGTACCTTATTGCTAGGAACTTCAATTCTTCGTGTTGTTGAGTCAGACACAGATATAGGTTGCTTTTGTCCAGAAGAAGAATTTTGCTGAAAGCAAATACAAAAATTCAAAGACGGGCACGGGCAAAACTTCAGGGCAATATAAACGAATGGAATTATGTCGTTCTAGTATTTATAAATCTACAGTGAAACATCCTTCAACAAATATAAGAACTTTATGATAAAGAAAAGGCCAAACCAAGCTTCATAATCAACACCTTATTATCAGGAACCTCCTCATTTTGTAAGGCAGGGTCAATAGAACTGGAAATGGGTAGTTTGTCTCCAGCAGCATCTTCCTCATTAGACTCCTTAGATGGTTGTTCAGTTTCTTTAGAGGGCTCCTTTTCTTTTTCCTGCTCAGAGTCTTCAACAGGAATCTCTTTAGAGTCCTCAACAGGAACCTCTTTGGCATCATCCATAGGAACCTCTTTGGCATCCTCAACGGAAACCTCTTTGGCATCCTCAACGGAAACCTCTTTGGCATCATCCATAGGAATCTCTTTGGCATCATCCATAGGAACCTCTTTGGCATCCTCAACAGGAACCTCTTTGGCATCATCCATAGGAACCTCTTTGGCATCCTCAACAGGAACCTCTTTGGCATCCTCAACAGGAACCTCTTTGGAGTCCTCAACAAGAACCTCTTTGGCATCGGCAGCCTCGACAATTTCACTAGAACTTGGTTCCTTGGCAATTTCTTCTGAATTATCTTTGGATACATCTTGAACTGTCTCCGAAGGAGCATTTTCCAAAGTTGCAGCATTTTCCTGATGTCCATTGGTATTAGCTGCAAACACCAAAAACATAACATCAATTACAAAAACTAACTTCCTTACAATTAAAGCAAATTGTACCAACAACATAATAAAACTAGTAATTCTGCATCATAGTAGAATATTCATCGAAGCCTAGTTATATACTATTGTGATTCTAGAGGATGAAAAATGAACTAGTTACGAACATTTTACAAGTTGGGGAATAAATGGAGTACCTAGGTCATTCTGATTATCGTCGTCAAGGCGGGGGCGCTTGTTCTCACCCTCGTCGGCAACTGCGGCGTCGGTTTCAGCACCGTCGGTGTTAGATTCGAGAGGCTTTTGTTCGGTAGGTTCAGAGTGCAGATCTTCGAACTTGCGCTTACCATCGGAGGGGACGGAGCTTGTAGCAGGTGCAACAATAACTTCTTCTTCGGCCATAATAAGGTGTGAAATTGAAGCGCGGGAGTGAAGAAGTGAGTGGGGATGAAGGCGGTAGAGAATTGATATGAAATGAATGGGACGCGAGTTCGATCGAGATGACGAAAGGATATTTTATCTCAGGGGATGGATTTTAGGGTTACGACCTACGCTATTTTGCAAGTCACAGCCGTGTGGGCTTAAACCCTTTGTGTGCTGTTTCTCTTGCGTCATGGGCTGCTGGGCTTTGTATTTAGGGAATTTCTTTTCCCACCCTTATATAGATTGCCAAAGACGCACCTCTGAATATCACAAACATTCTTGAGTTTATTTGGAGAAACATCTTCGAATACATCAAATTTCATTTTGTATTAAAATGTAGTTTCGAGATATATCTCTGAATATTTTTTTAGGTTAATTCGCAGATACATATCTGAAGTCGCCTTTTTTCCTTAGTTGATCAAGTAGCGGCCTTATTTAGAAAGGCAAAAGTTCGGAGATACATCTGCGAAATATTTATGGAGTAAATTAGGAGATACATCTCTAAAGTCTTGTATGTGTGTTTCTTTTGCAAAAATATTGTACTGAGTTTGTAGTTTTTCCAATCCAAAGTCATTTTAATTTGATTAACATTGTTATTATTTGTTTCAAAGATTAATAAACACGAATATCCTATAACATAGTAATGCGTTAATTAAAAGAAAGACAATCATACTACAAAAATTATTCTTGAAGTATGGAAAAATATACTAAATCGACTCAAAATACAATCAAATGTATAATCTATGGAGTATGCATAATCCTAACACCTCAGTTCCTCCTATGCCTACGGTAACCCAAGACATTTCATACCTCGGTAAGAATGAAATGTGTTATGGAAACTGTGTCATCACCACCTCTCTCTAATAGTCTAGACTATATGTCATCTCCTATCATCGGCATAATATTCTGATAGATCAACAACACATCAACGATATAGTCATTCATGGTATGCTCATTCTCTAGAATCTTATCATGAGTAGACCTAGGTGGACGTCCAGGAGCGTATGGTGTCATGACAGGGTATGACACAAAATAGAACCAAGTAATGTAATCGTCCATATAATATCATTGTTTAATGGCTTTCATCCTCTAATACACCTTCATTACCATACGACTCTCAAAATCTGCCAGAATGTCATCCAAGAGTCTGCGAACAATGGTCTCAAAATCAGCCTCAAAGGAGGGTAGTGGAATGATATGCACGTATCCAAATTGTTGCATGCACCGCTCTAACAGATACATGCACATGATATTACTCCCACATACCATCCATATATAGTATAATGAAATATGGTCGAACGGAATTATGTCTTAATGAGAAGTATTTGGCATCCAGTCGATGTCATCATGCTGAGTCCAATCAATATATACACAGAATGGCACCACAACATCATTCCCTCTAATAAAATGACACATGCATGCCATGGTTGATGATGTTGTAGCCGAAAGAACAGAGACCAGCAAGACCGGAGTATCGGAGCATACTTAGGGACCACTCTTATTGTGGATGAGCAAGTATGTGGATCTTTTTGAAATGATTAACAGGTTTCAAACACTTATGTTCTTGTTAAAAAAGATAATATAACAATTTGAGATGAATTTAAATTTGGTTAAAATATAAAAATAAGAACTGTTAAGAAATATACCTCTCGAACCCAGACATGCGAAGCAACATAGTCTTCAAAATATATCAATAATGATGTGTTAGTGAACCCTCTTGGAAAAGGGTCTGCAAGTTAAGGGAGATCATCACGTGCAGTTGGAGCCTCCTCTATCTGGTGTACACGAGCATGGGATGACGACCCATGTGATAGTCGGCTCCTAGAACATGACGATTTCCCATTATGAGGCCTAGGGACGACTCCCCATGTACCTTTGGCATGTTGATGCTGAAGAGCTCTCTCACAGCGAGCATATGCGATTAGGGTTTTATGGCTGAGTTTCATCCTGTCGTTATTTACAGTCACTATCCTTGAAAAACATCATTTTTTATCAACTCTTCCATTGCATCCTTCAGATGGAGGCACTCACTATCATTGTGGTCATGACTTTTATAGAAACGACAATATTTATATTTATCCATCCTTGACGATTCACTTACCAAGTAAGGATTTCTGATCTCGGCTTCCTTAAAATCAGCATTGGCACATTCTTTCCAAAAATAACCCCTTGAAATGTTCAGAGGAGTGTAGGTGGAAAACATGGATCTAGTTTGTGATCCTCTTCTTCTCAAAGACAATTGTTGTCTCTTTTATTGGTCGTATCCATAGCCCCCTGCTATTTAGCCTCTATTTCCTTCTTCAGTTAGGAGTTCTATTTTCCCTGACCTTGCAGTCCCCCGTTAACAGATTTTTACATGAGGGACCAAAAATGTGGACGAAAAATATTAAAAGGACCATTATTTAAAGAAAAAATTGGAAGGACTAAAAGTGGAAATTGGGATATATAGGGAGACCACAAATATATTTAACCCTTTAATTCCATATACGATAACAACAACGATAACCAAATCTTATCCCATTAAGTGTGGCCTACCACATGAATCAACTTATGCCATAATATTATATACATGACCATGATTCTATCTAAATCATTAACCTCAAGTTCTTTATTGATAAATTCTCTTATGGTATTTCTAGATATTTCTCTCCCTATAACTGTTTGACTTCTCTCTATTTGATATATTTTCCTTACCACAAAATCTACATGTCTTTTCTCTACATGTCCAATCCATCTAAGTCTATTTTCTACCATCTTTTACTATAAGTGTTGCCCCAACCCTCTCTCTAATATTCACGGGAAGGAATATGATCACACCATAAAGCTCAAAGAAGTAGAGGCATTTGTGCAATGACCACAAAGGAAAGGGATGATGTTTAAACTTCCTACCATGTTCTGTTTCGGAAGCAAGGTAAATCTTGTTTATATTCTGGGGACTTTCTGGGTGTGTTTGATGACAAGATTTGAGAACTTGTAATGAGATAAATATCATATACTGTCTAGTTTTACCACACATCCAAAAGAATTTTTTTATCTATGTTACACTTACTTTATTCACGTGTTGATTCTTAACCACCTAACATTTTGTCTTGTACAATATCACACGTCTTACCGTAGTCCTATAAAAGTGTCCCTTCAGCTCGAGTGATACCTTTACGTCACATAGATCCCCTAAAGTCCTCCTCATTCTGCCACCCAACTTGATTTTAGTGATTTACATCCCCTTATATTTCTCAAACATTTTGTATTACAGACCCAAGATATTTAAATCGTGAATCTTTGGGGACGACATGGTTTCAAACTTTCACATATAGGTTAGAAACCCTTCTTCTTTTGTTGAACTTACATTTCAAATACTCGATCTTACTTCTTCTTAACTAAAAATCATGTTTTTCTAAAGATATTCTCCAATTATTCGACCTCTCATTTAAATTCTCATGTCGACTCTCAAAGTAGGATTATATCATCTGCAAAAAGCATGTATCTCAGTGATAGGTCTTGGATGTGTTTTGTGAGTACATCCAAAATTAAGGTAAAAAAAGGTAAGGGCTTAGGATTAAACCTTAATGAAAACCTATTGTAATGGGGAAATTGCTTGTCTCTCCACCCTGTATCCAACATTGATCGATACCATTATCATACATATTTTAGATAGCTTGAATGTACAATTTAACCCTTTTTTTCTTTAGGGTTTTCCATAAAAAATTTAGAGGAACTATATCATACGCCTTATCCAAAGTAAAATTTAAGTGTAAGTCTTGTTGGTTAATCTGATATTGCTCCATCACATATCATAGTAGATATATCGCTTCTATGGCCAAAATTTCAGGTATAAAACCAAATTGGTTCTCAGTGACTTGAGTCGATTTTCTTAACCTTCATTTTATCATTATTTCCCATAACTTCATGGTATGCTCATAAGTTTAATTTCCTATAATTTGCATAAATTTTTATAACCCATGTTCTTATAGATCGAAACTAGAACGCTTTTCTATTTACACAACATTTGCTTTGACCTCATAATTTCATTAAAGTTTTTGGTCATCGACTTAATACTTTTATCTCCATATTTTTCCATACTTTAATAGGTATGTTGTCTAGCCCATTTGCCTTATTGTTACTCATCTTTTCCAATGTTTCCTTTTCCTCTTATTTATAATTCGACAATATTAATTATACTTTCAATCCTATTCGCTTATGTTGAGTCTGCTAGAGTCTAGTGATATATCATTATCATTCATTAAATAAATTATAGAATTATGTATCTCATCTATCCTTTATATTTTTTTCCTAAACTAAGACTTTGTGTGAAGATGTGTGTTTCTCAAGCATTGTGTTTTGATGAAGACAAGTATTATCTCTCAAATTATGTTCATTGTAAAAGGTTGAGAAAAAGCTCCATGAATCAAAGCTATGATATCAAGACTCGTATATCAAGCAACATTATCAAGATGACCTTGGACCTTAGGATATTGATCACATCATCAAGGTACAAGTTACAACTTTAACATGTGTTTTACCATAGTGTTCAGAAACTTCTTCATTTCATCTTGATGCATAAAATACATTTGGGTAACTTATGAGTGTCCATAAACATGTTACTTAAAGTATTTTTCAATTACTCATCAGGTGTAATCAGTTACACAATTGTGTTAACTGGTTACCAAAATTAAAAATTAATTATTTTTAGAAACAACATTAGGTGTAATTGGTTAGCCAATTGTTGTAACTGGTTACACATTCAAAAACTTCAACTTTTCAAAAAAATGTTTCATTGTAACTGATTACGATTGTGTGTTAATTATTTACAACACACGCACTTTTTTTACATAAAATCTAATTCCAACGAATTTTAAATTCCATATATCAATCAAGGTATTAATTCATGGTATTATACTCATTCCTACATGTATAAAATACGTAATGTTTCAGGTTTTGAAAACTTACCTCTTTCATTCCAATTCAAACTCAATCTTTCA